GCTGCTTGCGAGAACTTTGATTTTTTTTTCTCTCTTCTTCGACGAGCAAAGTGGGGAGCGAAGAGAGAGAGAGAGAGAGAGAGAGGGAGAGAGACAGATTGCTTCATTAACGAAAAAGTTTCTAAAATGAGATCAGCTGCGAGGAAAAGAGTCGAACTTCTTTTTATCTGTTACGAGTATTGGGAAAAATGGAACGAGCAGAGTTGCGATTGGAATGTAAAGAAGCGTAGCAGGGAGGGGCACATTTTCATTCCGCTCGAAAAATCTGACTCGAAAATATTGGCCGGGATATAGAGAAAACAGAGATACTCCGATATAATGCGTGAAAGATACTTGTAAAAAGCTCTCTCGTGCGATGCTTCCGATACGAGGGTTTATATTTCATACGGCAGGCGATTCATAAGTGGAATGAATTGACGATGAGTTTGTCGTTGTTCGTTTTCTCCGGCAAGGGAAATATCGCGATCGTAAAGCTTGACGAACTTGCTGACTTTATATGTATATTTATTTTTTATGAAAAAGCGTTTATCTAAAGACGACTATTACTGCCGGAGAGAAAAGAAGTACTGTCATTTGCTGAGGAGGGAGAGCTTATAGGTATTTTTACGGCTGGCCGAGTCGCCATCGCTAGTTTATCGATCATAAATGGTAGCACATTATTTTACAACTTGGCCCATAAGCTGCCGATAATTCAATAAAAAGGGCAACTGGAGCGCGAGAAATAAAAGAGAGAAGTGGGGTCGATCAACAGAAGAAAGTAAAAAGGCGAGTCCGGGCAAATAAGAGAGAGAGAGAGCGAGAGAAACAAGCGAGCCGACGAGGAAAAAGGCCGCGAAACATTGATTGATACATCGGTTTAAGTTTAATGGAATGGCGTCTCTCGTTCTCACAAAAGTGACAAGCTCTTTTTTTTTTATATTCTTTGGTTTTTTTTTTGTTTTTCAAGGAACGAATGAATTTCAGCCAACTGAAGTAAAAGTTTGCACTCACTTTGGCGCGTAAAGGAAGAGAAGTTTTCTAATGACCGAACGCGTGATTCCATAGGGCGCGATTGTAAAAAAACGTGAGGGTGCGAGCTGCAGATGTGCGAGGGAAAGTGCTTAAATCATCTTGATAATAAAAAGAAAGGATGAAAAGAAGGGAACGGCGCGCGAGATGAAGAAACGTTATATACCTAGTATATCTTGCTTAAAATTGAGTTATTGCTCGCCCGTAAAAAATGCATATCGAGGATTGTTTTTATGCAAATTTTTTACGATTGCCTTTTTATTACCCCTGCCTTCTTTCTTTCTTTCTTTCTCCTCTAATGGGTTTCACGATACAGTTATGAGATACTGATGCATATTCATAAAAAAAAGAAGGGAGGAGCGCAGGAGAAGATTTCGACCGAGCTTGCTTGTAAGATTTTCGACGTAACAGCTGCTTTTTTGCGTCGGCGTGCAAAAGTCAAATTCATTTGACTGGCGGCGTTTTCCCAACAAATAAGAAAACACTCCGCCGGCTCTCTTGTAAAAACACAAGCACTCTCCAGAAGCAAATTCGTAGCACTCACGTTCACTTTGAAGAAAAAAAAAGCTTCTCTCCGAGAAGAAAACCCCGAAAAAAGAGAGAATTGACGTCGAGAGCAAAAGCCGCAAGAACTCGAAACGTCAAAGGCAAACCGAGAGAGAGAGAGAGAGAGAGAGAGAGAGAGGCGCTTTAAAGGCCAGCGACCGACGAGTATTAATTCCCGAAACAAACGGCGTGAGCGCGCGCTCAATGATAACCAATTACGTGGGTCATCCGAAAGCATCGCTTTATTCGCGAACCGAGTAAGGTCGGTCGTTCGCATTAGGCGCGTGTTTTGGACGCTTGATTGTGCCGAGCCGAGGTTGTTGAACTTTTTTTTCGATTCCGCGCCGATTACGAAAGTTACTTTTTGTCCTTTTATGGTGGACTTGCGGATTCTATGGTGTAACGGAATCAATCGACGTTGGAAAGTGTTGAATTCACGCACTAAGAAGTTGATTCGTTTTTTGTTGCGTCGAAAGTTGAGAATTTGGAAAGAAAGCGATGAACGCGTGGGGAGAACCTCGGGTGCACGAGTCGGCTGTAACAATGTTACGAGAATGCAAGAGAAAAGCTCAAAACATTTTACCACCGAGGTTCATATAAAACGCAAGAACCACTGTTGCGTCACGCGGTAAACTGTATTGCACCGTCCACCTTGCGCTGATATTACACACAATGCGTTAAAAATGAATGTTCTTGTTCCTACTCATGATTTGTTACAGTCTAATTTTCAGTAGGCAGCAGCTTCGGAAATGTCAATCCCCGCAAATATGCCAACGCGTGATTTATTTCCGTGAGCGACGATTGTATTTCTTTGGTTATTTATGCATTCCATCAGACAATCAACCTCGAAAACGCTTTGAAATATAACAACGCGAAAGGTCTCCACAATCTTCATTGTCGATGTCCCATCCTCGCTGATTTTATTTATCCGAAGGCGCGGTCCCAATCACTCTTTATATTTATCCAGTCATATACACAAAAGCGCCTCGACGACCTCGCACGCTGAACTTCAATATTTTCGAGGTCGACGCGCGCTCACGATCGTCGTATTCCGCGTACGTATAACAGCATTAGTATGCGTTCGATGTTGCCACTCGGGTAAGGCAGACCTCTTGAGAGTCTTTTTTTCTTCTTTATTCCCTTTGCGCGCGACGAATGCGAGTTCATTCTATTTTAATGACCCTCTCCAACTCGGGCAATTAGACCACTTTTACATGCTCGTTGCGGCTCTTTTTTTAAGCGCGATTGTTTTTTACTTCGAGCGACAATGGTTTGTTGAGCGCGGCGGAATAATTGCGCAACGAAATATTATGTCGGGCGTTAAAAAGACTTACAGAGGTACCTGCTTTATTTCTGTTAACGCATGCATCGCAGAGGAGTATAATAGTCTTTTGATGATTCGCGCTGTAGCCTTGAAATTGCATCGGTATAAATAAGAAAACAGAATTGATAATTGACGTGAAAAATAGGACGAACGCATAAAAAACAGTAATTTGTTTTAAAAACACGCTCACGAAGAAGCATCTTAACACGAATATTTGTTGCTGCTTACGCCAACGGAAGAACGTCATCAACATCGAGTTAGGCATAAACTTTACGACTGCAAACAAGACTAAGTATGGGTCACGAACTTCGTGGAGTGCATCCTTTTAAATTGACTTGATGGAATCGGATTTCGCGCAGCAACAGCGGCACCGACGTCTTCATTGAATAACACGATCATATTTCAATCGACGTAAGCTTGGTCATTCGTTTTTTATTAAAACTCGCCCCCTTTGAGCGTCGCTTTACCGACAGATTATCGTTAATGAGGATCGGACGGCAAAAAATTAACGTTCCGACAAATCGCCATTGCCGAAAAATTCATCACCTCTTTTCCTGCGATTTCGTCGGGAGGAACGCGCACTGAATCTGAAATAATATGCATATGTATAGCGGAAATATACTCGAAACGAATCATCGTTCATCCCGCAAGAAAGACTCGAAGGACTTGGACGAAAATGCGCGCGCGCACACACACACACACACTCGTACCAGAAACAAACGTTGTTTTTTTAATGCACCCAAGGCACATTAGCGTGCCGAAGAACAAGAAAGATAAAACAAAAAAGTTGAAGGCAAACATTCGGTTGTTTACTCGACGCGTATCGTCGCGCGCACGCGCGCGAGAAATACTTAACGCAAACAATAGAAGCTGCAACAATTGCTCATCCAGGTCTAGATTTCCGCGTGCGCAGATAAACATCCGCATCGCTAATTAGAACGAAGACGGATCGCTGTCTCTCGCGAGGCAATTTTTAATTGCTTCGCCTAGCCGATACGAGCATTTTTTCCGTTTTTCTCTCTCCTTCGGCGCCTGTCAAAACACGCGGCATCGGCGGGGGAAGCGGCGATTTATTTTGCTTGCAACGCCCAAGAGCTTTGCTCGCCGAGGGAAGGGTAAATACGCGCGTCTCCGGCAAAAATCAAGATGATGTTTACACATTTCAATGAGTCCATACGCAAATCGAGTGTCGGTCGCTCGCTCGCGCGATTATGCTGTTCGACGGCAGACAAAGAGCCGCATTATTCTCATTTATCTGCGCTGGAACGCGACTATTTAAAGCAACGGCAATCAAAGGAAGATCTGACTCTCTTGGTATCATGCCAAATGGTAATGTAGAAAAAAAAGCAGGAATATCTTACTGTCCATTCTGTTTCCGAGTATTGCACGTTTCGATGCTGCTCCGTAATGAGACTTTTGTCAAAGCTTCAATTTTGGTAAATGATTCGTGAAAATTTCGTACCGATTGAATAGTTATACGTGCGCTACCTAACCATGCATCAAAAGTCTACTATGCATACAAACACTCAAGATAATCTTCCAATATCAGCATGACGGATGCCGCCGGCAATCAAGTTTTCACTGATCTTCCAAAATTGTAAAGCGACATTTTTACAACTGATACGTAACGCTGTTTTGCCGAAGAATTTAGAAAAAGAAGGCAAATTAAAAGGGAGTTAGTTCGAAGAATGAATCACTATTATTTTCTCTCGTGCATTTTTAAACAACTCGAGTGCGGCTTAAAAAAAGCAAGAAATGTTATGTACCGGTTATGTTAATGTATCAACAATCAGTTTGATTATCTATGAGCAACCGTTGATTTATTCATCCAACGCCATTGTCGCTTAATTCACAGCTACCTCAATCGCACAAAAAGCTATCATTGATATCGAGCCGCATCCTCCCGCAATGCATATGCCCAGCGAAAAATCGCATTTCCGCGTGTCCGCTACGAGACAAAAAGATGAGCCGCACGAGAAGCCGACAGAGAGAGAGAGAGAGAGAGAGAGAGAGAGAGAGAGAGAGAGAGAGAGAGAGAGAGGCGGAGTGGGGGAGGACACGGAGTCAGTAGTCGGAGTCAGAAGCGAGAGTGATTAAAGAGTATACAGACCGACGAGCAGCACACTTTAGTCGCGAGCTGTAGCGGTGGCGGCTCGCGCGGTTCGTACTTGTATATTAGCGCGGTTGTCGTTGTTGCGGTCTCGCTTGCTGCCGACGACCAGTGCGCGTATCTCTGCGCGGCGTTTCAACCGTTCGGTGAAAGTGCGCACGCTTTTGAATCTTTCCCGCGCGAACGAAAAGGTGCGTGCTTTTGGAGCTTCGCTATCGTTGCCGTGGTGCTTTGTTCGCTCGATCGCGCAGGGCTGCTCTGCGAGATGGCACTTGGGACGACTCAGGTCAAAGTTGAATCCAAAATCTGTCAATAAAGCGAACGCAAAGGGACGATCTTTTCGTTTGGACTGCTTGAATCGACATCTTTGTCGCTGTAAAAATATCTCTGAAGACGATTTTAGATCGATAATTAACCCGACTATTTCAACACGATAGAAAAAAATGAACGATGAGCCTTTCTCAATAGACAAAAGTATACCGAGACATCCGTTTTTGCCATAAAAAAATAGAGGACTCACGCTTGATTGACCGTCAAATCAATAGCTTGTCAAAAGAAGAATCTATAAAGAAGAGTTGTCCATTGTGTTAAGGGTCATTGCCACTCGAACAAAGAAAAGTGGCCGTACATAGCCGAAGTGTCATCTCGCGAGACAGAGATAAAGCGGAGAGGCCATGTCACCTAGATAATTGAAAGTGACGCTCCTCGAACTAGGCCACACCGAAATATTTCACCACGGCGCCGATAGTAAAAAAAGCTCGCTCCCCGCGCTATGCCGTCATGCTTTTTTCGTCTGTCCGCAGATTATTTTCGTGTCGAATTGCGGCGCGTGTCTGGGAGCGGGAGAACGCAGACAGCGAGGTGAGTAATTAGCGATAGCGATATTTATTCACGCGGGCCCGTCGGACAATGAACGGACCGCAGAGACGCACGAACGTCGCGCGGCCGCGGCGGTCAATCGAATCTCGCGAGTTGCCCCGGGTGCCAAAGAAATTGCGAATCGAAGGCGTATGGCGAATGGCCGCGTAAATAGCCGCGTAAATAATCCAGCGATCGGCGTAACATAATTGTTGCGGCGGCTCATGAATAAATGTAGATTAGGCGGCGAGCGCGCTTGTTCTACACGTGCTATTTATAAATAATTCATACGGAGCGAGTGATACGCATAGGCGACGACGATTATTCCAGTGATTTTATTCGGCGCCCAGTCGTATACATACATTTTAGCGGTCGAAAGTTCGACCACGTCCCTTGGGTGTCAATTGCAACGAATGCCCATCGGCAATTTTCTTTTTTTCTACGTCTGCGCGCCAGATGTGATTTATCGACTATTCCAAAATCCTTTCAAGTTTAATCGGGGTTTCGCATTAATTATATCATTCAATTTTTCATACTTGCCGTGAACGTATCGTAGAGGCTTTTTCGTCAATCTACATTTTTCTTTGTTTTTCTTTCGGCATTTTGTATTTACTGTGAGTAACGCGTGTCGTAAAAAAAGTATAGGTTTTCGCCGTAGAAATGACGCTGGATGTCAATATCCGCCGATTTTTATCGGTCCGACAAGTTTTCCATTTTATCTCTATTCCTTTTATTTCCATTCCGTTAAAGTTAAAATGTAAAATCCGAATGACCACAATAATTTTTCGACAAAAAACGATCACCAAAAATACACGCAAACTTTATTATCATTAAGTCGGATACTCGACATTTATCTCGAGAGACACTATCGTTCCTCGATAAAACATACAAACACAGATTATCCAATCTCTAATTCTCACAAGATAAGAAAAAAGGAGAAGAGGAAGAAAAAGAAGAAGAAGAAAAGACTATCCGATCGGAACGGAGTCGCGCGCGTAGATATCGACGGAATTTATACGGGCATCCACGGGCAACGATCTTGACGGCGCGCGCGTCTTTTCGCGCGGAGATAGGGTGCAAATCGCGGAAGCGAGCCGGCGCCTTACGCCCCTCGATACGTCAACGTTGAGGGGAGGCCGATACGCGCGAGCATCCGACCGCTAATCTGTCAATTCAGCACGTCCGTCCGACTGACGCGCACGGCTTGCAGAAATCTTTCAAAGATAGAGTTCTTTCTCGCCGAACAGTTCGATGATTCCAAGTAACGTTCACGAACCGTGAGTCTTTTTTTGTTTGTATTGCTTTAATAAATTGGCGAAGCTCGAACGCAAAAGTACAAATAAAAATAGAGACGTGTTTTTTCACGCGCGCGAAAAAAAAGGTGTAGGCTTACGCGCGTTCAATCAATTGGACCTTCGCGCACGTACCCACTGTTCTTGGGTGGGTTCACTGGTTAAAACGGAAAATCATCGATTAATCAATTTTACAATCGTCGCTTCGACGTGCTTCAGTTTTGATTGGCGAATAAAACACCCGACGTCACGGTAAACGTACATCGGGCAAACCAAGATTCCTGAAAGCCGCGCGTCGATCAAGCGATCAAATTTTCGAGCGCAACGCGATACCTGAAATGCAATCCACGGAGACAGCGCAATTTGTCGGACGCAAAATAAAATACAGTTTCGCGCGCCTGATCGCAATCAAAATGAAGTGGCGCAGCGGGCAATGACAACGACGCTCGATAGGTCAGTATTGTCGGCGTCGCACGCAATCTCTCGCGTGCGTTTCAGCCGACGAGCACGCGGAAAAGGCGGTTGTCGCATTACCCCCCGCAAACTGATCGCCAAGCGAGCCATCGTGCTCGGCTCGAGCGAGCAGTCGACCAATCAATAAATCACGTCGAACAAATGCCGGCAATCGGCGAAAAATTAATGACAAATCCACAGCTGATCGATCCGTGTGCGATTAAGGTGCCGCGCCGAGGATCTCGCTACATATTCATCGGAGGCTGCGAGCGGGAAAACACCGTGGTTCGTTTTGCGCCAATTTCGCATGTTGCCAATTCTCTCTTTTATTTCCGAGGAAGTTTCGCAGCGATGCTTAATGGTCGCCTGAACGAAAAAAAATAGAACGCAGGGAGAGCTAAAGAAAAAGGCGAAACCGTTGTTCCAGATTATTGACCCGAGCGACGAATACAAGCGAAAATTTACGAGCGAGAGCACACGACACGAGAGCCGATTTATTCGCAACGTCAACCGCGAAATTTTCGGGATTCACGCCGAAGTCACGAGAAGAACACTACTACTGCTCGTTACCGCACGAACAACGATGTAAAAAGTCGCGACGTCTGGCTGAACTTGCAATCGAAAATCTTCAGGCACGCGATTTCCCATTAACAATTAGCGAGCGCACTCGGCATAATCTGTCGTCTTCGTTGCCGAGCGCTAAACGAAAGTGCCTAATCTAACCGAGACAAGACAAAGACGGGGACTTATATGGATTTAAATGATAGCCCTCGACCACATCGATTTTCCAATACGAGGCCACTTATCTCTCTCTCTCTTTCTCTGTCTCTCTTTCTGTCTCTTTCTGTCTCTGGAAAAGAAAAAGCAGAAAGAAAAGACAAAAAGAAACGAGGAAACCAGAACGACTCCATTTCTCCCGCGTATAAGACACAAATCCGATCTGGAGACTGTATACAAGGTAGCGATGATGGGAATGGAGATCCGGCCAGCGCGTACCGCCGAGAAAATTATGGTCGTTCGCTCCTCTTCGCGCGCGCGCTCGGCTGACCTCCTTTTCCTGCTCGCGCGTCGCGCGACCTTCCCCTACCCACGGGCAACTTTTCGACGGCTTTGCCCCCGTCTCGCGTTCGCCTTCTTCTTTCTCGCCGATCGTGCAATTTCGGATTAGCACGACGTCGCGCGCTATTTAACATTCATGCGCGCGTACATAAACGCTCTCCCGGCCCCGGAATTTTCACTCTAAATGCACGCCTGCTTTAGCGAGCGCAAGGGAGTCCCCGGCAGCGCCTCGATTATCTTATCGGCCGCGGGCAGTTATACCCATGGACATACTATCTGCGCTCCTGATTCGCTTATTATGCACAATCGTTATTTACGTACTGATTACATTTCTCTCTATAGACACTCGACGAGAATAGCTCTCGAAGAAGAAGAAACACGCATACGTACGGTTAGAGTGAGTTGAGTAATGCGTTTCACGATTCCATGACTGCGACCGGCGAGTCTCCGCGAGGAAAGGTCAAGCCAATTAAGCCTGCTTTCAAACTAAAACTCGCCTTTCAGGAATTAATAAGCGATTGATTCCCCAGTCTGGATTCCAACGTGTAATAGTACTTTTCACGAAAGCGAGCGTAACGCACTCTCGGTGCGCTTTCCACGTTGTACAATGCAGCGCGATTTTCTCGCGGTGGCTCGGCGATGCTCAATCAATTATTCCAACTTCGCTTTTTATCTATCCGCCGTTGACTCTGCCGCGGTAGAGGCCTCAGTTGTGTATTGCGGTTTGCTAAGCCATTCGCAAATTAAGTGTTTGCTCGCTGCTGACCGGATTAGTCCGCTGGTTTTTCGTCGCCGAGAAGAGGCGCCTGTTTAGATGCAAATACCGTGCTGCGCGTCTTTCTCGTGTAGCCACGAAAGAAAGGAGCCGCAACGCGGAGGAAAGAAGAAAGAAAGCCATTATGTACGATAATCGTTCTATATATATGCATAGGCGCGGAGAACCATTGGAAATTTCAATGAGCGGTTGATTTGTATCAACTCCATGCGGGCATTCCTGTTTTTTCAAGTGCACAATCTCCGCTTTGTCAGTCGGAAAGCTTTTTTTCCTCAAGCATCTTTCTGTGCATCTCCTTCTCTCCCTTTCTCGTTTCACTCCGCGCTACGGCACAACATATGATACATGTCTATCCCGCGCGCGCAATATACATATTTTCATTTGCGCTCGCAAACAAAAGGCAAATCGAATGTAAACACGCGCCGGCAGGCGAAAATCATCGCTCGATAATTCGATTAATCCGATTCAATATCCCTGCCGCCGATGAAAACCAGTACAGAGGAGAGCAACGGCGCAAGCGAAAAAGTGTCGCGCGCCGAGAGCAAACAGCGAAGACTTATACTTTTTCGAGCGGGCGTTCATTAGAATCTAGTCGGGACCCGTTGTCGTTTAATACTACGAGAATCGTTAGAGGGCACGGAGCTCGAATGCCGGTTATTTCGCTAATTTCAACACAATACCCGAGGAATCGTGGTATGCTTTGTAGTATTGTACGAGTGTACCCTCGTCAGCTTCAAATTTGAATGGATATGAGCAGTAGGGATCGGGTTTAAGGGCTAGTATTATGCCGAATAACTGCATTATATCAATTAGTTTACCGTTACGTACGCCATGCACATTGGTATTGTTCTGGAGTATCATTCCGTTGCTAGCTTTTGTTATTTTCGGGTAGTCCATAACATGAGATTTTCACGCCAATTTCTCCTGATCCATTGTGTTTTTGTCGAATGTTCTTTTATAAATGTACGTATCGTCGTAAATGTTTTTCTAAAAAAGTGCGTATCTTTGTGAACGTTTCGTAAAAAAAGTAGAAAATTTTAATTCAGCCGATATAAGTCGGAGATAAATACGCAACACTTGCGATGACCGTAGCTTTCAATTACGTTACGGAAATTCTACGGGGGCATTTTTCATCTTCAACTATGAATAGTTCCACTCGCTTTATAGTGCTGTAAAAATACAAGAACGCAAGGCTTTACATTGAAAAAATTGAGCGAACCGATGTGCCAACCTCTCCAACGTGACCATGTACACTTTAGGTAGAACCGGACTAAAAGGTGAATCCCCATTCGGCGGGGAGGAAAAGAGTGTCTTTGTTTGCCGAAGAAAATCGAGTTAGAGGCGCCCTTCAATCGTCGGGAGGTCTTTTGAGGATCGAAGAGAACGCGCTTTGATCTTGGCGAGTCGACGACTGATCGAGAAATAGACGACGGGGGGGGGGGGGGGGGGGGGAGGCAAGCATACAACTCTATTTATTCGGTCGAAGTTCCACTACTATCCACCGACAGAGCCAACGTTGCTCTTTTCTTTTTTTCTTTTTTTTTCAACTTGTTTTTTCACTTGCACTGCGGCAAATATTTAACGTGTTGCGCCACTGCTCTCGGCAACCGAAGAATTAATAAGGCTTCTTCTCTTTTCGACCTCTCTCGCTTTTTCGCCGCTCTGCATTGATTCTACTTTTTTTCGCGTTTGCTTTTCCTTTGTGCGCGATAGTGTTTCTGCGTTCCCGTGCGCCAACACGCTGTGAGCTTTAGATTTCTAGGAAATAAATTTTAAAGCTGTGCTTTTTCCCTGGAATTTTAATTTTAGCGCTGAAGACTTGTGGGCAGCGGCGTGGAAAAATAAAGATTTTCCGTTTGGTCGTGTTTTAACGAGGAGCATTGATTAAAATCCTACGGTTTTCATAGGTAAACGCTTGACGCGCGGCATTGAAACTCCTTCGTTATTAGTTCGCACAAGATGTCGTCATTAAATATTTGCTAGGAGATCCAAAGAAAAGTCGAATAAAGTCAAACGGACATTAAAAATCAGCTTGATCTTGCGTTTATTTACATGCTGCTTTTTCATTTCAATCGAGGCCAATGGATCAACGTTACTTGCTGAAACTGCAAGTAATATCCGCGCAAAAGAAGGCGACAACCTGCAGAGTACACAATATTTTTCACAAACATTTCCGTAGCTCGTCGCAGTGTTATTAAACGAAATGTGTTTTACGATACGCGATAGTATTCGATCGACTGCCAATCAAAATTTGGTCATATTGACAACTCTATGCCGCCGTTGCAGCTTTCAATTTAATATCAATATTGATTTACGCAAGCGATTTCTGCATGATTTGTGCGAGTATAATAAACGTTATACGTACAACGCGGAAGTGATTGATTGCCAAAATACGGGTAAATCGAGTAGATATTATTAACTCTCGTCGCGCGCTCGACAATTTTCAAGGAAATTAAAATTTCATAAACTCGGCCCCGCCGTCGTGAATTACAACGGCTAAACAATGAGTTTCAATTATGCATTCGAACGAAATAAAAATAATTGAAGAGGCTTTCCCAGCGCCGTCGCGAGAAAAAAAAACATCCAAGTTGCGCGCACTTGATTGGGGAGGTTTACCTTGGCACTCGGCACTGCGGTCAATAAAAAACATTGAATATGAATGCGCGCGCTGCACTACCTGTTTTTGAATCGCGCTGGTGCTAATTTAAATGAAAAACCCATTCCGACTTAATGAATTCTTTTGCAACGCTTGTGGTTTACGAGGGATGCTGTCTTTTTTTTTCTCGTCGGGTCAACTCAAAGCTTCAGTAAGAACTGCATCTGTCGAATGACGAAAAGATGCCAACGCGAAATTATTTTTCGCGGGTGCTTTTTTTCGGAGGGTTTTACTGCTACTTAGCACACGAGGCGCGCGAGAGGACTTTCGAAACTGCGCACCCTAAGTAAATATTAATAACTCTGACATTAACTAACAAAAGTTTCAGCAACTAACAAACTATTAACTAATGTTCCACGCGAGCAACTCGCAAAATATTAATTTGTATGTAAGCTGACTACCGAAAATATTGTGTCGCGTTACCAACTACTTTAGAAGCGTTAAAACTTCGCAATATCGATGTAATGAGCACTTTTATTTTCATCTTTGATGCCCGCGGATTATATAACCGCATGCAAAGTTAATAACAAACTACTATCACCAAACCAATATTGGCACATGCTGCACTAGTTGTATAAAGCACAACTAGGCATGCTCATACAACATAATAAACAACGCTGTCTAAGGTGAAAATCAATTTTATTGATGAAATTTTAATAAGCAAATTAAAGATTCCAAAAGAAAATCTTTCCACAATAAATGCAAGCGAAAACAAGTGTCCTAAGTAAAAGTCCTGCTTCCTAATTGAAAGCAAAAATGAATGAAATAACGGTCTTCTACTTTCTTATAGATGTGTATATCCATAGAGAGTATCAGAAGTAGTGATCTAGTTATATTCTTGGGGCGTGTCCTTTTCTTCGAAAAGAAAAAAAGTTGGTACCGAAAAGGATTGAAGGTATGCACTGAACAAAGCTGTAATCCGCGTTACGCAAGCTGCATTTGCATGCGACGTCCCAGCATAAATAAGCCCCTGCTGTCTCTCTCTCTCTCTCTCACGCGCTCTCGCAAGGTATTAAAGTATTAAACTTGATTTGTATTGTTAGCTGTGGGACGACGATAAAAAAAAATGCGTTGAAAAAGAGAAAAAAGTAAAAAGCACCGACGATGATAGGAAGGCGAAAAAAGGATGTGTCCGACTCTTTAAATGCCCTTCACTCTCTGAATACTTTCAATTATTGTCAACGCTAACGAAGAGTAATTGCTTTTCATTGATGAAGCTCCCAGACTCAACCGACTTGCCAAGTCGTTTGGGAGTTAAAGGAAATACTCGATATATATCTTTTTTGTACTTGATTGAGCTGGATAAAGAACGGAAAAGCGATCCGGGAATGAAATTCGAAATCGAGACATGCGATTCGAACGTTTGTCGCGGAGAAAAACTAAGCTCGGGTCCTGCACCCGTAACGCACAAACATTAAAATTCACGCCCAGCCTCTCCCAATTCTTCCTACGACAAGCAAGCAAGTAAAAACAAAAACAAAATCAATGCTCTTCCCCAACATGCAGCTTTGAGAAACACAAAGCTCTCTCGGCGTTTTCTTTTTTTTTCGTCGCCCGCGCGTCATTGAATGCAAAGCAGATGCGCCGCTGCAGGCTTTTCTCTCAATTAAGGGCCTTAGAGCAGACACGAGCAAATAACGACGCGTAATCACACTCCCTTTTTTTTCTCAAACGCGCTATTCTTTTGTTGCAGGCGTGCCTTTGTTGAACGACTCGACGACCACCACCGATCGACCATGAGATACAAGGTGAGTTGTTTTTATTTTTCACTCGCGCAGGGTCACCCCTTCTAAGAGTGAGCCCCTTTCGAATCGAGGATTAATGGCTTCGTTACTAAGAAACTTTGCGAGACTTGCAAAGATATTAGCAAGCGCAAATGTTTTTCTTTCGCAAGAGACCGGGAGCAGATTTTTTTTGTCGCGCCATTGTTCGAAACACGGGTGTATTTGCGAGTTGCTTGGGTTCGGAGGGGATAATGGCGACGTCGAAGATTTATTATTTTGTCGAGGAAAAAAAATTAGTGTCCACCAAGCGCATTTTGTACTTGTTTGAAAATAATTAAACTTTCATTACGGACTGCTTACTGCGCTCGTTTTACAGCGTGATATTGAAATAAACGTGATGTAGTAGCCGAATTGTGTGCAATAATCAAGTCTCCGATCGTGGAACTAAAATTTCAAAGAATTTCCACTAGCGACCCAGTTGCGCGTGCAGTAAATGACAGTTTACTTTTTATTTTCTTTTTTGGATTTCGATATTAACGCACGAAGTGCTTTCGCGTGTCGCTTTTAAAAAGCTTTGCCTCGCTTCTCTCTCTCTCTCTCTGTATATCAAGGGCTGTGTTTTGCCATTGCTCTGGAATCAGAAAATCCTCGGGGCCTTTGTGAAGCCGAACGCTAGCAGGAAATCAGAGCAGCACCTTTGTCTCGTCTGCGTGTTTCTCTCTGGAATAAAAAAAGGAGAAGAAGAAGCTTACGCGCGTCGAAAAATAACGGATGTCGAAATCAAAAGCTCGCGAGCGCTTGATGGAAAAAGATACTTCGCGATGGAATGAAAGCTCAACCATGCTGCTGGAAATTTGCCGAAAACAATTTTTCGTGCCCGGCATCAGATTAATTACTTTCCAATCTACGCCGAGAACAGCTGGGCGAACGAGAGAATTGAAAAATATGTTGCCTTTGCGAACGAAAGGAAATCTCGTTTAGACGGTAACGAGAAAACGTTGCTGTTATGTCAAATTTTGGCTGAGTTCGCACGACTATCAAATCGAATGTTCAGCGGAGTTTCTTCGCTTTTTTTAATATTATAATGTCATAGTGATCTTTTTGGACACGCTGAATTATTTGACGCAATTGGGGACGGACTGAAATCTTTCTTATCGTTTATTTTTGACATTAATAAGTTTTCAAATAAAAGCTCCTTCACCCGAGCAGCTCGCAACGCGAAACTCATAGACTTTAAAATTCTAAAAGTATAGTCTTTCCACGCTCACGCAACAGAAAAAAAAAACGTGCGGATCCTCTTGAAAAGTTAAACTCTAAACAGAACTCCAAATTGGCTTTAAGACTGTCTATCTTTCTCCGGAGAAAAAACTCGCGGCGGCATTCTTCTTCCTTGCTTTCCTCTTTTCGCACGCAGTTCCTTTTCGCCGTATGTCTCGCGAATTTGCCGGATGGATTTAACGAGATTTTCAGCGCAAAAAAAAAAAAAAAAAAAAAAAAAAGAACAAAGAAAAGGATAGGTATACGCGCGACGTACGTACAGCGGCGGGAGATCCATACGCAATAAACGTGCAACACGCCAGAATGGGCAAAAGTGTATTGAATTCGAACGAGCGTCTCGCATCCGGAATGAGCCAGAGAGCAGTGTCGCGCGAGCACCTCGCGCCGAATATTTTTAGATTCACTTTTGCCGCTCGCTACGAAATTGCGGGTTAAACTTTGCCGCCGCTACCGAGGAGCAGGAAGTTGCTCGGGCGAAAGTGCGAGTGATAACCGTCTGTTTCCCTTTTTCTTTTTTTCACTTTCTCGTCTGTATACGTCGCCGTCGCGTGGCGCTCGGTATGAAATTTTAATAAAGTTTTTTCAAAAATATGGCTAGAATTTTTTAGACTGAAATGTGACGAGATTGCCAGTTTAAAATTGTAATCTTGTCTCTCCAAGTTGACATGGAAAAAATACCGGGTTCATTCAATTATGCGAAATATTGGAGGAAATGTTTGTCTAGATATTTCTAGAAGCTACTCGACAAACGAAAGCTTGGCGTATTATCGAGCTCATGAATCTATCCATAAAAATGAGCAATCGGAGGTAGCGATAGGTCAGCTTTCCAACAACACGCAGAGACGGAGATATAGAAACGAGCTTTGACATTAATCACGATGACGTGCCGATTGACATTAATTGTTAGCCAAGACCGTCTGTACATTTGGCTGCTGAGCTGTCGAGCTTTGAACTTTGACCCATGAACGGCAGCTGCTGACTTTCCACTCTGATGATTAAACGAGAATTATTTCTTGCCTCGCATTTATTTTTGCCCTTATCGGCGTGTATAGTTTTAGCGACAGTTGTCACAGTATAACTTGCTTTTTTGGATACTTTTTGTGACCGCCCTGTTCGGGACTGCTTGGGATTGATTTGTTCGTTCGAAAATACTATTTTTAAAGCTCTTCGTTCATCGAGGTTTCAGTTTGAAATCCACATTGTTGCGATCTGACGGAAAAATTATATAAATAAAGAACTATCAGCCACCCCGAGGAATTGACCAACTAAACTCGAATAGCCCATCGGGGAAAAAACAAACGAGCCAAGCACGGAGTCTAAAGTAAATTAATAATCCGCAAACGTGCGGCCAAACCTCTCCTCGGACGAGCGTTCATCGCTGTTTTTTCCCCTCTTCTTTCGCACGAACGCGCTTGCTCTCGCGCCACCCGCCGCCTCTTGTAGAAGTGACTCCGCGAAACGCGAGCCGAATAAAGACCATAACTCTCGTTGGGGGATGTGTGCCGTGTCACGAATTCCAATGTTCGCGCGCACGAGCTAGGAAAAGAAAGAAAAGAATTTTCTTTTTTTTCTCCCCCCCCCCCCCATCGTCACTGATTGAAGCGTCGAATCAGGTCAATTGCGTGAATTGATAAAAATAGGCCGCCATTGAGTGGTTGGCTTATTGAATTAGACTGAGCGTGAGCTCAATGCGAGTAAACGCATTAGCTATACCTGTGGGTAATGGCAATTGTACGGAATTCCATATATTGATTCATCACTCGTGCAATGCATATACCGCGAACGCACTCATTAATCATTGGCGATAGTTTGCCAAATAACGACATCCTAGCAGATTAGAGATGTTTGCCGAGAGTGCCATAATGCCAATCGATATGTTCGGCCGTGGCGCACGATTGTTCGGCTATCAAGCGACTACTCCTCGACATATTCGTCGAGGTAACGTCGACGGCATTTCCGAAGTAGGGAGGGCAAAAGACATACAGCAAGAGTTGAATCCGTTCCAAATCACATCCTTATGCTATTACAGCCAGACCGCGGCCCTTTGGCCTCTCGGCTTGCACTCGATATAGAGAACCGATCTTTACGATCACGTACGCTGCAGCCACGGATGGCTCATTCTCTCCGTCACTTTTCACCACGGAAACACCAGGGAAATCTCGCTCGATATCATATAAAGCCACTGTCAATTATTCACGAGAGTTTGGAAGGTGCTCCAGGCTCTTTTTACGCTTCCAACTGGAATATATTGGAAGTTACTGACGTGGAGAAGATATATTGCAAGAGTTTACTTTCTGCGAAGCCTCGGGAAACGATTCTGCTATTCAGTTATATGCTTTCGTCTTTGACAATGCGAATGAAACTTGGCGAAAATAGTTATGATTGATTTTGTATGGGCGTTGAGAACTCTGCGCTCATCGCGTGTCCGTCGCGAGAATGAAAAACTGGTGGCTGCCAATATGTCGTTAATCGAAGATGAACGCTCACTCAAATAACTTTTCAGGCTTTCATCGGGAATAATTATTTTTATTTAATGCATTGGTATTTCACGTGTGCATTCAAATGTGTCTTGTGCTTATACGACTTGCCACACATACTACACGTGTGCTTGGACGCTGGATTATCGATCGCGTGTCGATTTTGGATGTGCTGCATCAGATTGCTCTTGCGTTTGCAGGCGAAAACGCAGTATTCGCAGAAGAAGCTTGGCTTTTTGCCGCATTCGAACTTTTTATGCCTGTTCAAATTACACTTGAACGTGAACGTCTTTTTACAAACATCGCATTCAAAGTGTTTGGTATTTTCTAAATTATTATTTACATCGCCGTTAACGAGTCTCGAAACTTCGTGTTTCGTTTTCATGTGCGTCGCCAGGTGAACTTTCTGCTTGCTGGCGTAGCTGCAGTGAGCGCAGAAGAAGCCGGGTTTCTTGCCGCATTCTTGCCTCAAATGCCTATTCAGGCTCACCTTCCATTTGTAAGTTCTCGTGCACTTTGGACATTTATTCTTACCAAGGCTGTCACTCTTCTCGCTCGGCGGAGTTTCGAGGGAGTCGACTTGTTTACGGCATTGCTGCGCTTCGGGTGGCGAATATTTGAACTCCTCTCCGACGTCAATTTCTAAAGCAGAATAACAAACAAGCATCAACCCCGAGAACAAGATGACAACGCCAAGGAGTTTAAAATACCGACAGGTCACCTCGACAATCACTGAGTCACACAACATTTTCAGATCCACATGCATGATGGGAGGCTTACCACGTCAACACATTCAATTAACTACTGCGGTGGCCGTATGCTACTCGGACAACCTCCTGCACCGTCCCCCAAGAAGATTCACAACGTAGATCCATTATCGTCGTACATGAGAACTACAAAACACATACCAATTTCTCTCAGTTTCCCTTGCGAATTCCTGTTGCAAAGTATTTACCACAAACATTATATTCGTAACTACTTAGACCTCGATTTTTACTTTTCGCTCTTACCATACTTCTTTTACTTATTCGATTTTTTGATGAATATAACAAAAGTATCATTAACTTGTTTAATTAAATATGTTGCACTACCTACATATCGTAAATTGTAAAGAAGAAATTTTTGCAGTATAAATGTAATTCAACCTCTTTATTGACACTTCATTTGCATCTTACATAAATTCAAATGTTTATTTGACACGTATCGATGCAAACTCCCATTATACGAGTACTCAAACGAATACATAATCTTATTCTCTGTCGAACTCAA